CTCTCTCTGTCAAAAATAAATAAACATTAAAAAAATAATAAAAAATTAAAAAAAGAATGAAAAGCCAGTCAGTTGGTTAAGCCTCTGACTTTGGCTGGGGTCATGATCTCACAACGTGTGAGTTCGCGTGCTGACAGCTCAGAGCCTGGAGCCCGCTTTGGATTCTATGTCTCCCTCTCTCTCTGCCCCTCCCCCGCTCACACTCTGACTGACTCTCTCTCTCAAATAAATAAACATTAAAAAAAAAATTAAAAAAAAGAATGAAGAGCCAGTGGTTGGACTTGCCAGGGCTCGAACCCAGGAACCCAGGAACCCAGGAACCCAGGACCTGGAAGCACTGGCTCTGCACTGAGCTGCACCCCCCACCCGACCCCCCGCCCCTCCCCAGTCACTCAGATTACATGTAAATAACCATATGTAACTCTTAGCTACATTACTGAACAAGGCAGTCTGTGATACCTACAAATATATATAGTCCACAATTATATCACAGTACCGAGCTGTAAAAAAGGCAGTCATCCCATAGATTCTCAATACATATTTGTTGTTGACTTTGTGGGTCATACTACGCCTTTTGCTCTGCAGTTTGCTTTGTCCATGTATAAATTCATCTGAAGGTAAAATAGTCTGGAAGACACATTGCAAGCTGATAGCAGGATGACAACAGTTGCTTCTAGAGAGGAAAACTGGGTGTGGGTGTCTGGGGAGAAGAGTAGGGGAGAGAGCCATTCAATTTTGCAGTTTTGTGGGTTTTTGTTGTTGTTTTTTAAAGAGACAGAGGGTGCAGGAGGGGCAGAGGGAAGACAGGGTCAGAAGCAGGAACTGCACTGACAACAGAGAGCCCGATGGGCTCAAACTCACAAATGGGGAGATGGTGACCTGACCTGAGCCAAGACCGAGCGTCAGAGGCTTAACCAACTGAGCCACCCAGGCACCTCTCGCTTTTTATTCTTTCTGAATTTTGTACCATGCGCATGAAATACCTATTCAGAACTGCAAACTTAGAAACAAAATATAGCTGGCAATCTTTTCACCTCTGGATCGATTGATCTACCTCACGTTTATTAAGTGCTTGCAGAATATTCCAAGGTGGAGCCGTGGCGTGATTTATACGGCTGCCTGTAATGGTGGACATTTTGACACATCCCCCAATCCTCCATTCATTCATTGGGGATTTAGTCCACAAGCATAAATTAGGCACCCAGTATAAGACAGCTGCCAGATGCTCTGGAGAACAAAGCAGATAAAGATTCCTGCCTTCAGGGGCGCCCGGGGGGCTCAGTAGGTTGATTCTTGATTTGGGCTCAGGTCATGATCTCAAGGTTTGTGAGATGGAGCCCCTCAGGGGACTCCACGCTGACAGCTCAGCGCCTGCCTGGGATTCCTTCTCTGCTTCTCCCTCACTAGTGCTTGTATGCTCTCTTCCTCAAGATAAATACACTTCTAAAAAATTAGATGTAGATGTAAATTAGAGGAGGAAAAGAGCATTCGGCTCTAAGAGCGTAAAATAGAGACAAGAGCCAGATCACAAGGGATTAGCTCCTTCAAATGTCTTGCACCAGTGCCCCAGCTACAGGATAAGTACACAAATTGACAAGGGAGGGTTTGGACTCTCCCGATAGCAATCCTTGGTCAGTTGAATCTGAAAAAACAAAACAACAAAAAACAAAAAACCCTGTTTCGTAAGGCTTTGCTTTCTAAGAATGTATATAAAATAACAAATAAAGGGGATTCTGGCTGGCTCAACAACGTTCATTAAATTTGAACAAACAAAAAAACCACTCTCGGTTAACGCCCGCCCCTCACAAAGACGGCGGTGCAGTTACCCAAGCTCCTAAGACCCTCCCACCGCGTGCCCCGCAAAAAGATGGCCGCCACCGCATCGCGTTTGAATTCTGCAGAAACGAAGCCACGCGGTCCTCAAATCCCACGTGATTTTAGCCCCGCCGAACCCTGACCGCCTCCCTGTAACTCTCGCGATAATGTAGGCAGGCTCAAGGCTGGCCTTGCCTTCCCAACGTGAACTAGGGCGCCCAGCGCAGTCGCGGCCTGACTTTCGCGAGACAGTGTCCGCCGCTTCCCGACCCTCGGCCCTTCATCTTGTGGGGGTCCCTGCAGTCTCCGAATCGCGGGCTGTGTTTGGGCCTCTTGTCAATCACCGTCGCGTCCGAGGCACCGCCCCAAACCGTGCTCCCGCCCCCTTTCGTCACTTCCTCTCTAGCCCCTGTGCGGTCGATAAGGAAACCCGGACGCCGCCGCAGCTTTCCTTTTTCCAGGCGGCCGGGAAGATGGCGGACATTCAGGTGCGGGCTCCGGGCCGCAGCGGAGGTGGCGGGGTCCGGTCCCGGCGTCAGGGGCGCGTCCTGGAGAGAAGGACCCGCGCCCCTGTTTGGGGGTTAATGCAGGGCGGCCTCGATTTTCCAGACATTAATTCGGGCAGAGGGCGTATGTCTGTGAATTAATCTAATTAGCACCGCGTAAATACTAGGGTCTCCCCCACGTGGGGTTTAGGAGAGGCTCAAGCCTTATGAGAGGTATTTTTGGAGGCCTTGGGCCATTGGGTTAATCCAGGAAGCCCATCGTTTTGGTATTTATTTCTGAAGTCGCGTATATCATAGGAGAGAATCCTGAGTGGGCGCCCTTGTGTCTGGGAGAATCTTTGCCAAAAGGTGTACAGGTTGCTAGAGGGATTATTGTTTCTGTCTGAGTTTTAAGGAATGAATTCGGGTGATGGGAAGTGTTTTGGAGCATAAATACGGAGGTAACTCCGGTTCAGAGTTGGGTCTGAACTCACCTCTTGGTGTGACTGTTGTAGATGGTCATTATCCAGGTTTTGGAGGTTGACGTTTAGGGAGTAAAGGCTGGAGAGGGTGGGATTTGGGGGTTTCTGGGGAGGTTTTCCAGGCCAGGTTGCTGGCTCCGAGAGCTTACCAGCTTGTTCCTCATCCACGTAGACTGAGCGTGCCTACCAAAAGCAGCCAACCATCTTTCAAAATAAGAAGAGGGTCCTGCTTGGAGAAACTGGCAAGGAGAAACTCCCACGATACTACAAAAACATCGGTTTGGGCTTCAAGACGCCCAAGGAGGTAGGGGGTTGGAGAGACTCAGAAGGAAGGAGACCCCAGTGTCCTCCCACGTGGGTACACACGGAGTGGCAGTTCCCGGGGCCGTTGGGAATTGTAGTTTGTGTACCTAAGGCCACACCCCCTGTTTTGTTCAGGAACTACATGTGCCAGGCTCACTCCTTTCTCTCCCTTGTTCAGGCCATTGAGGGCACCTATATTGACAAGAAATGCCCCTTTACTGGTAACGTGTCCATCCGAGGGCGGATTCTGTCTGGTGAGTGAGGACTTCTGGGGGCTTGGGTGAGGACTTCTGTATCTGGGGGACGCTTGGACTCCTGGGTGAGGGGGGCGCTGGCAGATGATGTCTTCTCACGATGGTCTTCAGATGCCCACCACGGGCACTGCTGAGAAAGCCACTTGGCACAGCTGATGTCAGAAGCAGGGTTTGGGATCCCAATTCTCAGCATGTTCTGGGCGGCCCAAGGCTCCCCTTCCCTCCCGGGGGGGCTGACCTACCATCTGTCCCCTCCCCCCAGGTGTGGTGACCAAGATGAAGATGCAGAGGACCATTGTCATCCGCCGGGACTACCTCCATTATATCCGAAAGTACAACCGCTTTGAGAAACGCCACAAGAACATGTCCGTGCACCTGTCCCCCTGCTTCAGGTGAACATGGCGGGCCCTCGGGTTCCCAGGTGGAGAGGAGGGGGTGGTCTGCACCCGAGTCTGA